ATAGCATGTCGAAAAAAATGATAGTATAGTATGTCGAAATATGTCATAAAAAAGTGATAGTATAGCATCTGGAAAGGTCATAGTATAACCTGCCATAATAGCCATAATATATTATGTCGAAAAAGTTTTTAAAAATCATAGTATAGTATATCGAAAAAGTCAGTCATATATGTCGAAAAGATTCATAAAAAGTAATAGTGTAGTATATTAAAACAAAATCATAAAAATAGTGCAGTATTCTTTGTCATAAAAAAAGCCATAGCATAGTATTTTACTAAAAATGTCATAGTATGCAGTGCATGTATGCACGTAGGTATGAACCAGGACAGAGTCAAAACAGTGATGTCAGTGAGAATAGCTGCAGAGGTAGTTTTCTGTTGGCTCGTGTTTTGTGGTTGCATTAATTTCATGTCAATTGGTGCTTCCTTTGTTCAAAGAACTGGTCTGTGTGCCTTTTCTGTAACACGGTTGGTACAAAAGAATGCCTGTGTGTGATTTTAGAACTACGTGAAAGAACCAAACTCTTGGACAAGTATTTCTTCAAATGAGCTCAATAATGACATGCAGTTGTTGTTTCAGTTGTGTCTTTGTATCCTGATCACGGCGGTGGACCCGGCCATGTCTGCTACCAACAGGATTATCCTGGGCGTCGGAGTAGGGTGGGCCTGCCTGACCGCTGCTGTTGGGGCGATTGCGGTGAGCGCTCTTCATCCATTCTTCACTAGTAAAACTGCACACAGAGGGACCACTAACTGATACGAAAATGTCATTCATGATGCATTCTAAATCATTAAGAGTACAGATGGTAAAATTCACAAGCATTTAGTGGTTGTAACATCTTTTTGTTCTTCAGGTGTTAAAGGAAGTCAAGGTCTTAGTCTGGGTCTTCATGGTGCAGAACCTTCCTCAACTAGCCTTCTTTGTTTATCTGATGTACACGGTGAGCTGCTGACATTTTTTACCAGATTTCAAATATTTAAATTTCTCTGAATCTGTAGGTGGACTGGCTTTTACAAATCCTGATCAATCCATGTATTTTTTTTTTAGCAAACGTTACTCAAACAGCAGTGACTAGAGCTTTTGTTGAGGGCAATTTAAAATTTTAGTTTAATTTAACGTCAAAATAGTAGAAATGTCCTCAAGGGCGCGATTAGTGATGTGACCTTTCGTGTCGAGGCTTCGAAAGTTTGTGTCGAGTAATCCAGGAAGATTTTTGTGAAGCGTGTATCGAGGCTTGTGTTGACGTATGTGGTGACGGTCGAAGCCTCGCGAACCGGCCGTACCACGTGACTGATTCAGGAAATGGTTCACGGGTCTGGCGTGCGATTCGAAATATAACGGGCAGTGAAACACAATGGATCCCCTGTCACATTTTGTGTACTTCGGACTTTATTGCTCGTTTTTTTGCAAACTATTCTCTGTACCCCAGCTTCATCTGTGCCCTGTGAAAGGGTGTTTTCTAAAGCAGGTGAAATAATCTCAAAAAAAAGAAACCGCCTGAAGCCCAGCACTGTGGAAAAGTTGTTATTTTTAAATACAAATGAACACAAGCACATTCACATCACACACCTCTCCCCAATTTGTTTCCACTTTCCCTTTTGACCCCACCATTGTATCATAAAGACAGACACCATATTAATAAGTTCATAAGTTATGTATTGGCATCACAAACATCATTCATTCAATTCAAAGCTTCACACACCAAAGCCGTGGTGTCATTATCATCACATTTATTGTCTACTTGATGGCGCAGTAGAGCGAATGAAGCACCATGAAGCTTCTGCCCATGAGTGAACCAATTGGATGGAAAGCTTCATGAAGCTATCACTAGGGACGATTAAGCATCTTATCTGTAGCTGTAATAAGAGTATGACATTGCTGGATTGCTGCTGAAAAACAGTGGTTTGCTTTAACTGCAGGTGGGAATGATATGGTTCCACGACGGCACGTACACCCTGGAGGCAGCCGCCATCACCGGAGCTTTGATTTCACTGGTGATTAAAGTGGTTTTACTCTGGGGCCTCATCAGGCTGGTGCGCAGCTTTGGACAAGGCCTGAGGGAGAGGAGTGAGTATAGCATTGGTTTTCTTTTCTTGGTTTCAGTCCTTCAAATGTTACTCTGGGTAGAAGACCAGGGGAATATTAACTAAGCTTTACAGATTTCTACATATCATGAACTACTTGCCCTCTCCTCTTTATGTTGTCTTGATCACGTCCCTAAATTCTGAGAAACCTAAGTTTTGTCCAACTGTACTCACCTTGAGCGCGTTTGTTGGCTAGAAAGCAGCAGACAACCAAAATGTTGTATTTAGCCATACTTTTCTTTTTTGTTTGCAGTGTTTGCCCACAGCAAGTGATATCACACCTGGTGGTTATGGACCAAGGACACAGCTTCATGCAGAGGGCCTTATAAGAAGCTTTAGCACTGTGCTGATAAATACGGAGCTCATATTGTTCGTCAACTCCACCAAAATGATCAGTCGGTTGACTTTTCTTTTTTTTTTACTGATGTGCCGTTTACATTTGATTCTAGCCAACACTGGTTTATCTACAGGATGTAAAGCATTACAACTGAAAATACATAACATGCATTTGATTATTTTTTTATTACAGTATTGTAACATCTATTGGTGTTCGTAGACACCAACGATTTTGTCCATCTTTCATATCAAAGCAGCTTTTATCTCAAAATATCTTTTTTACTGTAAATTACATCCAATGTTGACTAACTTTAATGTGCTTTTTGAAATAGTAATTGTCTAACTTGAATCTTGTAATCTGCATCGTCTTGACTACTTCTTTGGGAGACACTGGAATGTTTACCTCTTCTGCAGCACGCGGGTACCGTTACACTTTTTTTTTTTTTTCATTTAAGGTTCTTAATAAAATAAAACGAGATTGATGTTTTGGCTCGTTGCTCAATAAGAAGAGTGAAAAGTTATTTGGATGTAAATTCCCTTCGCTATGTACATACTCACAGAACTGGAGTTACATCCAGGGAACTAGTTTTTTTTAGTGGATATTGCACGACTTCCACCACATTTCCATGATTTAAAGCAAACATGAACCCAAGGACTGGTTTCAAGAGTGAAGCACGATGATCAAACAGGAGGATACACACTCCCTAGTTACATTTTCTGTTTATTAAAGTGCTCTGGGGGAAAAAAATAGAAAGATTCATATTCGAAACAAACATACATAAATATAAAAGTCAAGAGTTACAAAAGTGAAAAGCACTTTGAGAGAAGAGTTGACAATGCTTCATAGAAAATAGAAGTAAAAGCCTTTTTCTTTTGCAGAACTGGGGTTCAGTGAGGCTCGACAGTTCACCAACACTGGAAACAAACCGCATCCTTTTCCATCATCTGTTTTGACACATTATTAAAGATGTCAAGTTGTCCTGGAAAGCCTTTTGAATGTATAAGTATTTCACAAATCCTTCTGATGCATTACAAGCTTTTGAAAAGTTAGAGCCAGACTGACAGACTTATTGGTCGACAATTAATTATAGCGCTTATTAATGTAAAAAAAGTATCAAATAGATTTATTTTCAGCAATGATGCATTGTAAACAGATTAATAAACATATTGACTTTACAAAATTCATCTTATTCAAGCATCACAATATATACTCAGAGTTAAAGGAATGATTGCCTTTCAGAGCTTAGCTGGTCCACTTGAGTAACGGGTGACACGTCTTCCATCGGACACAATTTGCTGAGCCAATTTATAAATGTATATATATATATATTAACATCTAGAAAAACATACGTGAAGAGATATGTATGGGAGGCAACACGTTTTCAGCAAAGACTACACAGTTGGCAGAGTTGTAGCAAACTGAAGAGAGTCTGAAAAACGTAGACAGAACCTTTAGATCACCCACAGCCCACAGACATCGGTCTATAAAACCTACACAGAGTTCAGCTATGGCTTAAAAACAGACACTGAAGAAATGGGAACTGGAATGAATATCATCTTCCTGCATTCTTGACTACGTGACAGCGGAACAGAGATTATGCGATGCCTACTAAAGAACCCAAATAGCCGATCAAGTGTCGTGCTGAGCAAAGACAGCAGTCAGCATGTGGCTGCAATGGAAATGCACAAATCGCACATCTGTGCGATCGCATCATCACAATGACGTAAACCTTGAAAAATTACATTTTCATAAATTAATGATACCAGTGTTTAAGGCACAGTCTGTACATTTGGGTCACTATTGCCAAGTAGATGTACTGTAAATCTGCCCCCCCCAAGATGCAACAAAAAAAAAAAATGTGTAAGACATCATTTGTCATAAATTCATGATATTACATCAGTTTCTCCTGATTTGATTAACATAATTTAGGTAAGTTTGATTTAACAGATGTTTTAGAATATTTAAGAAAATCTGTAACCTCCACTGAAGTAGCTAACTTGTGGTTTATAAAGTAGTCGATGTGTCCCTGCCGTCCATATGGTCTGTTTTGCAGAGTAAAAAGTGCCAAAGCAGACCATCGAGAGTAATGCAATAACTGCCATTCACAACCGACGTTCAGAGCTTTAGTGCAAGCCTTGCATTTCCTTCTGATTACTAGTAGAAACATCATCTCTTCAAACTGCTTTTTGATTTCAAAAGGCCAGTTTGTAAGGAACGCAGAAGGAAAACACACGGAGACAATCCTGGACAAATAGTGGGACCAAACTCCATTCAGATCATCACCATTTTAACGTGCTTACACATTAGAACATGACAGAATATCTTCTGGGGTATTCTACAGACTTATTAAAGGATATTAATAACTATGGAACGATAGAGTGGAGTCACGACTACCTGAGCAGAGAATCATTAATGCTGCATACCCCTAAAATAAAAACGCTGCTAGGTTACTTGTGTAACCCCGGTTCTCCGAGTAGCTCGATTAGGCAACAAGTGTCCAATATTGTGAAAAAAATAATTATTAAAAAACATTTCTTTATGAAAAGTTATTTCCATAGGATTTTTTTTATTCATTTAATTTTATCTCAAAATACCCATTTTCAAATGTTGCTTGTATATGTCTATCATTTTTTTTTTTATAAATTACACAAAAATGTCGTCATTCAAGAGTGGCGTTTTCACCAGTCTCCGCCTCATCACCGTTCACCCAATAGACTGTAGATAAGCTTCCCTTCACTCTCCGCAGAGTTATGTAAATTAAGCTAGCAGCTGCCGTTAGCACTGGCTTTCCACTTTGATGATGAGTAATAATCCGAACCTACTAGAGAACCTAGAGGTGCGAGTGCTGCAGCTCGGTGTTTGATTCTAAATGACTTTGGCATCGTTGTTGCTCTAGCGTAGAGCGATGATTGGGCGCGCGTCTTCAGTGGGGTAACAGACATTTGTGACAAAATACAGCCGAACCCGGCAGATCAGGTCCGGCCCAATCGGGTTAGGGAAGAGACTCAAAGCTCTACTCTAGCTAACGCGAGCTAGCGTCATAATTTGGTAGCTGTTGTAAGTAAAGCTTGTCGGGAGGATTTTGGGTGACAGGCTGAGGGATCACGAGGCTGTGACAACTCCAGTCTCACCAAGAGTGAAGACAGACTTTTGAAAAAGGGCCATATGAAATAAAAACTATGAAATAAATAAAACTGTTACTATGAAAAAACTAAAATGATTAAATATAATTTTACAATAGTGATTTGAGGTTTTTGTCAATGTTGTGGGCAACGTTATTACGACAGGCGATTCTGAATGGAGTTTGGTGAGACCTATCCATTAAAGACAAAACAGCACAGAGCACGGTCGAGCTAAAACCAAGACTAAGGAGTCCTCGAGACTTTGAAGACCCCCCCCCCCCGTGCCTTCAGAACTCCTCGTCCTCCGAGCTAAGGTAGTTCTGCTTCTTCCTCACATTCCAGTGCAAACACTGGGCCAGGCTCTCGAACCAGTCATTGACCGGGTCCCGGAAACAGATGGAGGGAACAGGGAAGCAGGAAGTGGTGATGGTAATACTAGAACAAGGATGGAAAAAAAAAAGAACCAGGTTTTATGTCACCAATCGCTGCAGGCCAAACAAGAAGGAGAAGTCCAGGTACGTGCAATCAATTGAACAAACAAAAGAGGAGGTATTGACATCAGATACAGCAACGCAACTTCCTCCTGAAGCAACACTGGGTATTTGTCTGAGTCTGCTTCGGTGACTCATAAACAATGGCAGAACCAGGAAGGTGATCTCTGAATGAGTTACCTAAAGGAAAAACATGGATCTGAGGTGTGGTAAACTCCTCGGCTCACGCCTGTTAAGCGGGTTGATACGGTTACGTAACAAAGCCGGGCAGGGTTGAGGCAGCTGAGCGTTAAACTCGTTATCTAGTGCGGAGTCTCATTGTCTGAGGTGCGATGACCAGCTCGTTATGCGGACTAACCTGTCTCCGTGGCAGATCTCTTGTCTCTTTCTTCCGTCAAATGACACCCAGGCTGTGTTTCTTGCGTCACGTGACAGCATTATCTAACAAGTCAAGCAAAGGGTGCAGAAAAGTCACAGAAAAGACAAAGGTTGTTTTATTGTCATCAATGCTCAATTAATATACTCTCTTTTTTTAATCATCAAAACATATCTTTAAGTTCATGTAGTAGTAGTTGTAGTAGCACTTGCAGGTGATATCATATGCACCATATTCGGTAAAAACCAGTGCAAAACAAACCACTTCCTTAAGTGACTCAAACAGTTGGTGTCGATACCTTAAGCTCCACACCGGCGGGCACCACGATGGGCCTGAAGGAGAGCGAGTGAGGGCAGATGGGGGTGATCATGATGGCTGGCACGTTGGGATGGATCATGGAGGCTCCTGCTGCCACTGCATACGCTGTACTACCGGTGGGTGTAGATACTATCACACCTGAGGGGGACACAGAGACACAGAGTTATGGCACGATACCACGTCACGTAGGTTTAATATGGCACAAAAACAAATGTATATGTAGAATAGAAATACACCTTAATCTCACACTTACACTCTAGACCAGAGACAAATATTGTCATTATAATTTTGATGAATAGATTTAATTCTTTCATCATACGGAGAAACTATGGACTGAATATCAAAAGTATACTCAATCACCTTTGCAATTAATCTAGTAATTGTTTTAGCACTAATTTAGAATTTATGCATCAACATTCCAACAGGAAGTGAACACTTGCAAAAACATGTACCGTATTTTCCGCACTATAAGGCGCACTTAAAAGCCTTTAATTTTCTCAAAAAACGACAGTGCGCCTTGTAATCCGGAGCGCCTTATATATGGATCAATTGGTTAATTGGTTGATCTATACTGGTTGTACACGGCGCTCTGTCAAAATGTTTCAGTACGACTGGTAAACTACAAAGCCGCACCGCTTGCAGCATTACGGCTACCGTAGTCAGGTGCGTCGCCGAAGTAATAGCGGTAAACACCGGTACTGTGCTTACTCCTAGTCCAACACCACTTGTGTGTATAAAGACCCCAAAATGGCACCTTTCAAGAGACACGCTTACGACGCTGAGTTCAAACTCAAGGCTGTCAGCTACGCATTGTGAATGCACTAACTACGTTTTATACGCAAGTTGAACAATTTCGAGAGTTACTATATTGTGAATGCACTAACGTTTGATTTAGTGGTATCAGACTGTTTCTTTTACGTGTTTACTGAATCAGGGAAAAGTTCCCCTCTACGTTTAAGTTACCGTATTGTGAATGAAATCAAAAATCAATAAAGTTTGACTGAATGATTTATCTGACTGTTTTGTTGACATTCCCTTTAGCACAGCTCCATCTAGTGGATGCATAACGCAACCCCTGTCAAACGTTTGACTGTAGTAGCTTCTATTCTATGCGCCTTATAATCCGGTGCGCCCTATATATAAAAACAGTTCTAAAATAGGCCATTCATTGAAGGTGCGCCTTATAATCCGGTGCGCCCTATATATAAAAACAGTTCTAAAATAGGCCATTCATTGAAGGTGCGCCTTATAATCCAGTGCGCCTTATAGTGCGGAAAATACGGTACAGTGCGTGTTTTTCTAACAATACTACTACAGGACATTCATTATACTTCTATATCACATTCTTAAAAAGGCTACATGTTGTAGTTGAGCTCCCACGTTGACAGTTTTCATCAGAACATGGAATTCGATGAGAGCGTGTGCAGAGCCTTATTCTTGTTTTATATATCAACCCACATGATGGATACATTTGTAAACTTAATATAAAAAATGAACCCACCATGTGAATGTGTTACATGCAGTTAGGATTGCAGATGAAATGTGTAATCATGAATCTACATGAACCTCCTGCAACCTGCAGTTTCTCTGTGCGAGCCAAAGAATTCAAATGCAACTGGTTTTATATGCTGCAATGTCGAGTAGTGTTTTTGTATTTTGAATGAACGCAACGAAAACATGTTTAGAAGCTTCAGTATAAAATGCAATGCTTGCTGGAAGGTGAAGGAGAATAAAGGTTGCTCTATCTGCAGAGCGTGTTGTTTGGGCTGTCGGACCGGTTTCACTCAGAGAGCATGGCTCGCCACTCAGCTGGGGAACGCCACACAACACTGATCTAATTCAGTTACCATTGTTAAATGGTGGTGGTATACGGCACAAACTACACCGACCCCATGCAAGCGCTCAGATTTCGCGGCTGAACATCACTCACCGTCTCCCTGCACTGTGGTGATGAGGTGTCCGTCCAGGAAGAGGTCGACGTTGGAGAGATATGAGGAGGGTCCTCTGTCCACCACCACCTCATTCAGTACCTGAAACGCACAGTCACAGGTTCATCAGTTTGTCGTAAACACCACCAGCACCTGATCTACACACTCACTCTCTCGCTCATACTTGTGTTATTATCGAGTAGTAACCTCATACCTGCAGTCAGAGCTGCATTTCTTGTCATGGAGCTGACGACATTGTTTACGTTTGTGGTTCTTTAACAACATGTTACCCGCCGAAAAGCATCGGGGGGAGAAGTCGAGCAAGTTATTATATTGTAAGCACATGGCTTAGCTGGTTGGTCATGTTTACAGTGCGGAGCGAGCTCCCCATTGGCTGCAGATATTACCTGATACTGCGCGGCTTTCCGGCTGCTTTCAATGTCCCCGTTAGTCAGGATGATGCAGTTTTCGTCAACTCTGGCCTTCTTCTCGCAGTTCTCCTTCAGCACCCGCACTTTCAAGCGACTTCGCAGGACGATGGCAGCATTACCTACAGTACACACCACATACAAATATATGAAGTGTCTTTTGTTTATGAAAACTGGAGCATGTGTGCTTTTGGCAAACAGAACAAGAGCTGTAGAAAGACAGAGGTTGGAGAACACTCACTACCTTCAATAATTTGGGTGACCTGAGACTGGTAGGTGTCAAATTTGAAGGGTGTCAGGAATCCCAGGGAGCCCAGGTGAAAGGCCATAACTGGTGGAACGCTCTCCTACAAGTAAACAAAGGAAGGAGAGCACTGTAGTGTCATACCAGTAAATGTAAAGAGCACATGAAGGCTGTTTTTAGAGTGACAGGAGGAATGAGGCTGAATACCTGGAAGAGCGAAGACGCATAAAGCAAAGTTCCATCTCCACCAAGACAGATGATGAAGTCTATGCGATTGGAGATGTCATCAAGATCTGGGAAATATAAAGACAATAAGCCTTTTAATTATCTCATCTAAGCTCCTGACTGTTTTGTTTTCATACATACATACATACATACATACATACATACATATATATATATATATATATATACACACACACACACACACAGTTGTGTGAAAAAGTGTTTGCCCCCTTCCTGATTTCTTATTTTTTTGTATGTTTGTCACACTTAAATGTTTCAGATCATCAAACAAATTTAAATATTAGACAAAGATAACACAAGTAAACACAAAATGCAGTTTTTAAATGAAGGTTTTTATTATTAAGGGGGAAAAAAATCCAAACCTACATGGCCCTGTGTGAAAAAGTGATTGCCGCCCCCCCCGTTAAAACAGAAATTAACTGTGGTTTATCACATGTTTGGAAAGCTGAGTTCAATTTCTCTAGCCACACCCAGGCCTGATTACTGCCACACCTGTTCTCAATCAAGAAATCACTTAAATAGGACCTGCCTGACAAAGTGAGGTAGACCAAAAGATCCTCAAAAGCTAGACATCATGCTGCGATCCAAAGAAATTCAGGAACAAATGAGAAACAAAGTAATTGAGATCTATCAGTCTGGAAAAGGTTACAAAGCCATTTCTAAAGCTTTGGGACTCCAGCGAACCACAGTGAGAGCCATTATCCACAAATGGCGAAAACATGGAACAGTGGTGAACCTTCCCAGGAGTGGCCGGCCGACCAAAATTACCCCAAGAGCGCAGCGACGACTCATCCAAGAGGTCACAAAAGACCCCAGAACAACATCCAAAGAACTGCAGGCCTCACTTGCCTCAATTAAGGTCAGTGTTCATGACTCCACCATAAGAAAGAGACTGGGCAAAAATGGCCTGCATGGCAGAGTTCCAAGACGAAAACCACTGCTGAGCAAAAACAAAGGCTCGTCTCAGTTTTGCCAGAAAACATCTTGATGATCCCCAAGACATTTGGGAAAATACTCTGGACTGACGAGACAAAAGTTGAACTTTTTGGAAGGTGTATGTCCCATTACATCTGGCGTAAAAGTAACACGGCATTTCAGAAAAGGAACATCATACCAACAGTAAAATATGGTGGTGGTAGTGTGATGGTCTGGGGCTGTTTTGCTGCTTCAGGACCTGGAAGAATTGCTGTGGTAAATGGAACCATGAATTCTGCTGTCTACCAAAAAATCCTGAAGGAGAATGTCCGGCCATCTGTTCGTGACCTCAAGCTGAAGCGCACTTGGGTTCTGCAGCAGGACAATGATCCAAAACACACCAGCAAGTCCACCTCTGAATGGCTTAAGAAAAACAAAATGAAGACTTTGGAGTGGCCTAGTCAAAGTCCCGACCTGAATCCGATTGAGATGCTGTGGCATGACCTTAAAAAGGCGGTTCATGCTCGAAAACCCTCCAATGTGGCTGAATTACAACAATTCTCCAAAGATGAGTGGGCCAAAATTCCTCTACAGCGCTGTAAAAGACTCATTGCCAGTTATCGCAAACGCTTGATTGCAGTTGTTGCTGCTAAGGGTGGCCCAACCAGTTATTAGGTTTAGGGGGCAATCACTTTTTCACACAGGGCCATGTAGGTTTGGATTTTTTTCCCCCTTAATAATAACAACCTTCATTTAAAAACTGCATTTTGTGTTATCTTTGTCTAATATTTTAATTTGTTTGATGATCTGAAACATTTAAGTGTGACAAACATGCAAAAAATAAGAAATCAGGAAGGGGGCAAACACTTTTTCACACAACTGTATATACAGTATATAGTGTGCATACAGTCATAGCAAAGATGGCTGGTTTTCATACCGTCTCTGAAAGTGCAGAATTTCTTTGTAATGGCCCCAAAGTTTTCATCGTCTGAGATGGCTGGGTCCTCCAGAACTTTATTTTCCACATAAACAATCAAGTCTTTCACCTACAACAACACACACGAAAAAAACAAGATTAGCAACTGACAGCAAGGACTTTGAAAGAAAGACAGCATCCCACAAAATGGTTTCCCATTGATCCATTAGCAGCTTCCCACCCTTAAACACTGACGTATCACTACCATATTAAACAGTGTGGGTGTACACATGGGGCATACCTGGGTGAGGAATATGCAGAGCTCTTTGAAAGGCTGTAGCAGACTGGCGTCTCGTATCTTCTTGATGACAAGGACACTTTTCGGTGGCTTGTTCCACGTCAGCCGTTGGCTGGCGGGGTCTTGAATGTGCCTGAACACACAAAGACAACTTTGACCTCAGGAGGAGAAGACAGACTGAACGGGCACCCGTTACATCAGCAAAGACCCGAGCGCTGAACCCACAGACTGTGGCTGATGTAGGATCTGTTAATGAACCGAAGCGTCCTACTGTTCATCATAATCAGGACTGCTTCGTACAGCACCCCCACTCAAAGCGAGTCGGGGACATTATTGGCACAATGTTTCTAAAAGAAAACACTGTGAAATGGGCAAGTTTTGAAGATAAAAAGGAGGGTGAGAATATCTCTTCAAACCATCGGGCATTCTGAGTTGACAAGCAAAGAGCAACGAGTTGTGAGGATGAACTCCAGAGGGATGAAACTAATAAAAACACATGGAAATATGATAAATAAAGCTGTAAATAGCCAAAGGATCCTAGTCTAGGATTTAACTAGACTAAATCCTAGACTTTGGTATTGTTAAACCTTAGATAACTGCTCTTGTACATATTACTGTACATATATAACTGTACTGTTAAAGAGTCAAATGTTCAGTGCTCGCAGGCACACATACCCAAACACACTCAATGCTGTACTTGTCAACCATTAGCTCCACTTTACACGGCTTGTAAATTAGCGTCGGACTCGCACAACGACATTTTACGCCAATCACATGTGGAGAATTGCAGTTTCAAGCAACGGTTAGAACAGGCTGTACCAATCAGTGGAGGTCACGGAGGTGAATCCTAACTAAACGATTTCATTATATCAGAAACCATAAACATGACATTCAGCTTTAGTTCCGCTCCACACTCGGTCCCTCTGGTCACGAAGCGCTTCTACGCGGTTGGAGAGACAATTTGCAAAGTCAATGCTGCATTCATGTTTCGTGGGTTTTACTGTGAACACCAGGTGATGCCCTCACATTAGCCTTCTAATGGTGATTTACTGTACAGGTTGTTTTTGTTTGGCTGGGATATCTCTACTCAGGGCGAACAGGTTTCAGCAGAATGTCAACAACAGCCGCACATGTGGAAACAGACTCTACCGCTGTACTTAAAATGCTCAGACAGCATTCTCAGTAATCCTGCAGGTTCCCCTTCAGTCCCAACAAATAACACGAGAAAGCAGAATCGACTCAAACCGTCAAATCAAAAACAAGATTAAAAAAACACCACTAACTACAGCCTTATTGTAATTGTCACAGATTACTCACCAGGCAGTAAATACGAGTGTGAGACAGGCTGCACAGGTTGTGTGAACGCCCTCGCGGCTTTTAAAAAAAAAAAACACCACAGGTGGAGACAAACGTACGAATGCAATAAACCACTTCCTAATTTAAGTGAGCCTGATTGAGACTAAATGAAAGCTGTGCCAGCCTGTTTTCCAACACAAACACAGGAAAACAAAAGCAATACTTCATTAGCATTTGAAGCGGTGATCTATTCATAGCGGCATCTCCTCTGTCCACCTCAAAGCATCCACACCCTGACCTCCCTCTCTGTCCTAAACACAGGGCCATGCCGTTGTTAACAGCCAGCCTGTGATAACACGCAAACATCGACACTTCTGAAGCGTTACAACCACCGCTCGACAGGGTACAGTTGAACCTTGATATGGCATATCAGCCTCCGAAAGGCCGTATCAGCCCAACCCTTGACTTCCAAGACAAATATTCATTCATTCAAGCAAAAGCCTAAACTAGTTCCCTGCTTTGTCTGAACCACTGGAGCGTGACATCAGTTTTAGCTCGCAGGCAGTGCAGCGCTCTGTTCATCTGGTTTGGCAACACATTAAACATATCCTGTGTTGACAAAGAGACAGGGTGGGGGGGGGAACTTGCTCTCACCACTTCCACACTTTGTTCTCGTCGAGGTTGCCGGGAGTGTCCTGCGGTACGCACTGGTTGAACTTCATGGCTGTACACATGTAACAAAGGATGCCGCTTCAAGGGTTTCAGCTGGAGAACGGGATGCTGTCCTGGTGGCCCGCGCTGACGGAACGGCTCATTCTACCTCCAATGACTTCCTCGATTGCCACACATAGTGAAGTGGCGTGGAGCAACCGCGTCAGTTCGCTTCTCGCGGTCAAGCTGCGGATCAGCCAGCGGCAGTCTGAGAGGCCGAGCGAGGAGAGTCTCTCTCCATGCGCGTGTGGTCAAGGCTCCAGGATCGGCTAACAAGCCCTCGGGATGGATCCACTGGGGCTATTTCTGTCCCAGCGAGGACTTAACTCTAAACCGTCCTGGTGCATTCTGCTGCTGAGTTAAGGCTCTAGCTCATCTTAAAATTGACTTTATCTCGGCTCAGCCCACTCGGCTGTGCTGAACACGCCCAGTTCAGGGAAAGACTTTCCTGATAGGACAGGTGTGAGTTACTGACACGCAACAAAGCTGTTCCTGAAACTAGTATATCCACTGTGGTGACAAGTACTATGACCACAATTAGTCTTCTGTATTTATAGAATGAATTACTTAAATGATCTAAAATGACGTAGGATGATAGGTGCTATGTATGAAATAAACACTGTACTACTGGATAAGATATATCAAGTTAGGGTTTACATTTCAACTTATTTAAAAAAAAAAGAAGAAAAATAAAGCTTGATGTCCAGTTAATTAACGGGAAAAAACGTCAAAATTAAAGTAGCAATAATTAGAAATAAACTGATTATTTGCTGCCTTGAGAAAAAGTAAATGTTTTATTTTATGACCCATTTCCAAGAAAGACAACGCTGCCTGACGACCTGCGGGAAGAGGAAGTGCTTATCGACAGGCTCCGTTATTATGCAATGAACGCGGTATGTGTGCAGTCTGTTGGCACAGTGTTTATTTATAAAGTGGGGGCCCAAGCACATCCTCAAACTCTGCCCTCATTTTAACCCCAGCTACATGACTGTCACAGTCACAGAATCTGCCCAAAGTCAGACAGACATATCAACACCTAGCAAACTACCCAGAACCCCCCCTCCTGTAGTTCACGCTATAGTAGGTGTCTCCAGGAACACATTTTGCCATGATTACACACACACACCCACAAACACACACCCACACGGTGAAAACAATGCGGAACAAAGCGTCCTGACAAAGAGGCTCGGGAATCGACTGGTTTTGCTACTTTTAACCCGTCCCGCAGCTTTGAAGAAGCTAATCCTTCAATTACTGCTGCTGCCCAAAACAAACAGTTGCCGGGAGCAACTTAATGTGGCCGAAGGGAGTCAAGAGGCCAACAGTCTGACAAAGCTCTGATGGGTAAATAAATCACGAGTCCATCCTAAGTCTGCTGACTCATTACGTGGACTTTAACACGTTATTATGAACACCTGCTGCTAGCTACAACGCAATCCAAATGTCATAGCTCTGCAACAGCTTGATGATGCTGAATTCACTGTAAAGTGTACAATATTTGATGCATTAGTACTGCCATAAAGGACGTCCTTGGTTTCAATACTTCATATAGAGCAGTGAAACAAGCAGATAAAGAACACGTAACATACGGCGTGGAATGTTTGGAGTTTAGCTAACTCTGAAGTTACACAAGAGGATATTAAGACATTTAAGTGCAAGACTGGGCTCATGAGGTTACAAGCTTCTCATAAACAACAAGTTTGGGAGAAGTACACAGTACCTTATAGACCAGTGTGATATATAATAATAATAATAATAATAATAATAATAATAATAATAATACTACTACAGGGAGAATGGCTTTTCATAATTTAAGTAAGAGCGATGTCACTTGGCCTCAATGACGCTCGGTCTGTTTGTAAAAGTACAGATTTTTTGTCCACTTCAAGACAAAAGTAAACATGAAGTGCGTGTCTGATGTCTGAGTCTTTATATTTCCATGTCCTGTATATTTTGGATAAGCCGTCTGATGAGCCGTCATGAAGAGATGAACAAACCATTAATTGACAGGCAGTTTGTTTCACAGCGTCTGCTGGCAATCAGCTGCACTGGCACTGTGTTGTTATATGTTAAATATATTGTATTTTTAACAAGAGCTGTTGGAATATAAGTTTTTTTTTTTTTACTTATTTATGTAGTATGGGGAGTTTAGTTCAGACTCAACTTTTTCCAAAAAAAGTCAGAGAGCGCAAATTGTTGTAGTTAAAAAGGTGGAGTCACGACGGTTTTGCCTCAACAAGATCTTAAAGCAACAGCAAAGTGGCTTTCTTCAGTTTTGGGTGCAACACGGACTAAACTGACACTCCGATGCAAAGTTTGTCACAACCTGGCTCCTAGGCTATGACAAATACGCCAAAGACACAACAGATGATGGTTACGTAAAGTATTTATTTTAACCAAATAAAGAAATAGTTAACTTTATGAAGTGTGTCAGTCAGTAACATCAGTAACGTCAACGTGGATGCGTGTGTGATAAAGTGTGTGTAATGACAGCAAAAATAAACATAACCAGCAGCAAATGGCAGCAATCACGCCACGTATACCAGAGAGACAAGCCGTGCGCCCAGAGAAAACGCTGGAGTAGGGCTTTATGCTCAAGGACCAGGTGCTCCGCATCAGTCAATCAGCCATGACTGCTGTTAGAGGCAGGGCCGTCACAAGTTGTACACCGACTCGTAACTTCAGAAAAACAAGCACAAACACTCCTTGTGATGCGGAGAGCATTTGCTCTGTGCGACTTACATCACTGTGTGTGGATTCTGCAGCATGCATGCCTTCGGGCCAAATGTGGTCACAGGGCTTGGTCCATGAAGCGACTGAGGCCTTCTAGAAGAAAGGACGACACAGGCAAACATTCAGGTTTAAGAAACAAGACGCTGCCGGTAAAGTATGCAAACACCTGTACAATTCGTTAAAGAAAAGAAAAAACACACTGGCTTTAAAGGGCATGCTGTTTTTCAAACAGTAAAAAGAAGAAGTACATGTTTGAGTTTGTTTCAGTTGTGATATTTGAGATAAGTGTGACATTCCCATCCTTTGGAGAACAGTGCATGCTGCTGATGGATGTCTCTAAAACTCCTACATGTCTAAATGCCTCTTCATGCAAGATTTCTAATCAAATAAATTCCACTTTCATTTCCTCGTTTACAGAAAAAAGAGAAGTGAAGCCGCAGTGACAGTCAGACATTTAGAGAAAGGGTGTGAGCGCGAGGATTTCCCAAATTTAATGCATCGTCAGCAGATATGAGGTTATTTCTTACCCTGTGGGTCACACAGTGGCAACCCACTATTCTACCCTAATGTATTTCATAAGGTTAAAAACATGTTGCCTGTGACCTTTGGTGCTGAACAATGGGGCCCGGTGGTAAATGGTAATCATGTATTGTGAAACGTCTGAAAAACAAACACTTCTATCACTCCTCCCTGCACCACAAACGCTGCATCAGTGACCAGCAGTTTTAATAACCATTAACATTAAACACAAGGCCTGTTGCAAATATTACATAATCACCTGATCGCGATAATTTCAGCCGATCACTTTGCTGAACTGGCGAATTCCACAATCAAGGGAATTCAAAAGGCAATATTACAAATGTGGCAACCAATAGAAAAGGAGCTCCAATGGGGAAATAAAGTGTCTACCTGAGCACAATGTCCAATTGTCTTCCAATGTCAGCGGAAAAAACAAAGAGAGAGAGAGCTTGACTGACTACTGCTGTTTGACAGGTTCTTTAATTTTAGCTCAAAATGATGACGGATGACATCTCTCTTGATTAATAGCCAAAAGTCTCCACTACAGCTCCGGGGAAAGTTATGCTGCAGCTATCGCTTGCATCCAGGTTCGTTTTGCTAGAAGAGTAGCGTCAGAACAGCTCAGTGCGTAGTGCAAGCGTAGCGAGTGCGCGGTGGAGCGAGAGAGAGACGGCTGGAAAATGTTTTGTTAAAACAATAGGATTGCATCGGGGGGGTGAAAGGTCAGTGACACTGAGCCGTGACGATGGCCTCCCGACTACAGACGCCTTCACGCTTCTCCACCTCGCTCAGCCAACAAATCCTCTTAGCGGTCTGATTCTGTGAATTCCCCATCTGCTGTTTACTGGTTCTTTAAGCTGCATTCATCAATATTGTCATATCAACACTGACTGAAATTAATGTGTGTCACAGCTCTCTGGAGTTTTGAGCCTCTTTTAGCTCTTTGTTTTTTTTTTTAAAATTAAGTCAGGAGGCCAGAAACAGGAAGGGATGATAATGCTGCTCCGTTTGCTGAGTCCTCCTGCCCATTAGTGGACCAAATGGTTTCAATGCAGCTTTAAAGTTCCCATGAAACAGCCTCCACATATTTACAGGTTTCCTGTAAAAAACTGTCAGCTTAGGAGTTGGACTTGACGCGAATATTGATTACACGCTCATCAACAAAAAGGACAAATAAGTCCGGACACTGACACTGCAATTACCGATTAATCTAAGGATCATTTTTTCCATTGATCAATAAATAGTGGCAAAAGGAATCAGAGTCCAGGATGGTGTCTTAAAATGTTTTTTATGTGATCCGCTTGTCTTAATAATCTCGCACTTTATTTCTTTTAACCTAAAATTAGAGTCGGATCTGTAGCACCTTTCAGCCAAGACAACCCACTTCCCTCATGTTTGGTATTCATGAGTCACTGCTCAAAGTAGCTCTAGCAAATTCATCACCTCCCTATTACAAAAGCCAAACAGCCATTTGTTTACATAAATCCATCACAACGACCTTTATGCCAAGTGTCATGAACATTACAAGAGTCATTGCCAAATTAGGATGAACTCAATAAAGCGGAGAGTGCGTTTCAACATCTTGGACAAGTGTTTCCTCAGAGTCATATTTAATTTCCCGGAGAAATCCTGGTACATAATGTGTGGGTCCCGTGGTCAACACCCACCTGTAGTCGGAGGAGCAGCCGGCGGAGGATGTGCTCAGGCTGCGGGTCTTCCTACTGCGTCGAGCCAAGCTGCGTCCGGCGACCTCCCCCCCATCACAGGTGGAGCAGCAGTGCGGGGCAGCTTCCACTCGCACCTCCTCTCCACCGTCCATCTCTGACAGCCAGGCTGCAACTAACCTGACGAGGCACGTCAAGTATTAATGAAGCTCGAGTCAAATCACTTCCGGTCAGCTCAACTTGTGTAACTCGAAATAAAGTTGTAACGTTAACCACTTTCTTTTTTTTTTTAGCAGAGAAACTCTAAAGTTGTGCAAGTCAAGTGGCAGCACAATAGCGGAGATTATGAAGTCAGTTGAGTAATGAGGTTTTTACGAGTTCCGTCATGTGAGGTTACCGTTGGCTAACCAGCTGGATAAATAGGTTAGCTAACCTAGCTGTAACTTAGCTACATACAGGTTAATAACTATTAAGCGGCTGCGTAAGGCAAGCAGTCTCGTTGTCACTAAAGCTAGTTTAGCTAACGGTTAACGTTAGCCTACTAAGTTAGTAATATCCCAAATGTCGAATGGTTTATCAACGCTCGCTACGACAAGACCTCCACTACCACATTCATGACTGTTAAGCGGATGAATGGTGACGGGTCCAGATGGCAGAAGATTCAACAGTGAGCTAACTAATCTAGTGTTAAGCTAGTTAGCGAGCTAAGCTAGCAGTTGGGCATGCTCAACACAAAGCGTGATGTCATTCACTTCTGTTGCCAATAATACCTTTCACCCACAGCGTTACAGGGGACGACACAAATTAGGAGCGCAGCAAACTGCCGTTGGATCAAAGTCTCGCCATTATTTCATTCGAAAACACTGCTACACCATCTTACTCTGCAAGAGACCTGTCAACAGTCAGCTCATCGCTTCCTGATACGGGCCGACCAATCACAGGCTCTCTCCTCGCCGACGTCATGTTGGACGACTTCTCCAGACCGACCGAAGGGTCAGGATGACCAGTATATATAACTTTATGATTGTATCAGAGGGAACTAAATAACTATGTAATTACATTATGACAAAGAAGTATAATTTCACAGGCTTAATTAGTGAGCTTCGAAAGCACTTGAATTCACTATATTGTTTGTACGGTCATCGTGTTATAACGATTATTATTATTTTATGATATAACGAATAGAGATGTTTCTCTTGTGCTTTCATGTATTTAAATACCTATACATTACTCAATTGTTAATTTATAACTCTACATTTAAAATTAAGAAAAGCTAATTGAGTCCCTTCTATATATCTATCGACATGTCATCCCAAAGTGGCAATTGGAACTTTTTACAGTTTGTCTGAATAGTGATTCCATCTGGACAATGATGCAATTGGACTGATTGTGGTCTAACTGCTGTGCATAGCCAGAATTACCTTGCTTGGGGGCAAAAATCAAGTCCAGTGCTGGCCCCCTGTTGGTCCATGGGAATCTGACTCGGGGACGTGGGGTATACAGTAAAGAAGTTATGGCCCAGCCACAATGTGATAGCGCCACTGTCTGGCTCATTGCACACAAATCTACCACTTCATGGTTGTTCATTTAGTGTATTCATCCACCAAACCTTTGGAATAAAGCTTTTTAAATTTAAAGTGCAATACAATTCATGTATTTCCCCTTACAGGCATGATATATGGGACCTTTTTTTTGTAGAAAAAAGTATTTTACCTTTTAAAAGGTAATCATCATCTATCAGCCATTCATCAATAAAGGTTTCAAATAGTGAATCATAAACCCAGTTCAGTGATATTCATTAGAATTCTCATAATTTTGCGTGGTCCGACAGTCTGCCCCCCCCCCCCCCAGTCCTGGTTCTCCAGTGCCTCCCTTCCCTCCAGCGGGCCCAGCAATACGGCCTGGGACTCCCAGCGGGGACCTGTGGAGCCACACTGAAGGACTTTCTGGTAAATCTGTATGATTTCATCAGAGTTCACGTGGACTCTGACCCGGTGGCAACGATGACAAGCACCAAGAATAACGATATAGAAATAGCTTGTTTAAATAGACCATATAGAGGCATCAGTATTAAATTGAGACTGCTTCATAACACTTTTAAACTTCCTCACACTAACTTTAACCAGAATTTGATTACTGTATGTATTATGGTTAAATCACATTAAATCAATATTAAATCCCTCATTGTATTTCATACTTATGTGCAATAGGTGTACAAAGATCAGGTAGTATTTCCAAGAGACGTGTAGATCTCAGAAGTTGTGCTCGCTAAGCGTGAGCATACAGTATGTAGCTTCTGTATTTGTCACATCACAAGTTGATGGCCAGTCTGCAGTTTTAATTTCTATCCTCACAATAACTACAAATAGAAACAGGACTGTGAGGCGTCCCTTTATACTCGGTGCAAAGGAACAAACTGCATGTAGGAGAGTAACTATGACTGTACAGAGAAGCCAGGCTGATTTAACAGTGGATAAGAAATTGTTTATTTGACTTGAACATAATTACAGGGAAACCAAACAGTCTGCAACATTCTAGCTTCAGTGGTAACCGCTCTAAGTGAATCACACTCAACACAGTAGGTCATCTCAAACTGCTTTTTATTACATCTTAAATAACAGTACATTTTAATATAGTTTCTATCTTGCATCCAGCTTTCGGTTGTACACTGACTGACTTTAAAATTAAATACAAAAGGTGAAAAGGGAAGAGTGGGGGTGCAGAGCTCTACAGTTATTTGATGGAGAAAGAGAGAAAAGGAAAAGGGAATTTAATTAATTTTTAATATTTTTTATTTAATTTTATTTTTTGCCAACTCCAGGCCTAACGTACAATTACAGCACATTTTTTTTGTACAGAATGTCGCAGAGAAAAAAACAATGGAAAAAATGTCACTACTGCTAAAGAAAGAGCGCCTCTGTTTACAAGGAGAAGGGAACAACAGAAAGTTCTGCCATTCAGATGCTGCAAGATTTTTTTTTTCATTTTTTATTAAAGGACAGAAAAAAACCTGTTATAAAATGTTTTTCTTTGTAAGTGGAATTTTGTTTGCTACAGAAGGAATGACAATTTGTTCCATTTGAGATCGTGTATGTTTGGGTGAATGAATGTACGTATGCATGTGTGTACAATTTTAACATTTACGTTACTTCTTAAATGTGTGGAATCCCTCCCAAGTATGGACCAAGTAACCGTTTATGTTGCAGGGTTTGCTTCTCAAGTGCATAGCTTTGACATTTTAGTTGAATCATGTATGCACGGAGTAGCCAAAAACAAAAAGAAAAAAAAAAAGAAAAAAGAAAAAGAAAAATATAAATACCATTGTATTGATATATTCAACAGGTTATTTTCTTAAAGAAAAACATCAAAGGACTTAATTCCATATGCACCTTTTTAAGCAATTCTACAGCATGCGATTCTAAGAGATAACCCACCCATGGCAGACAACCAAAATCTTTTTTTTTTTCATTTTTAACTTAAAAAGTTTCAATATCATTATTTTCAAACATTGATTTATACAACATGTCATTCACAGAGTAGTAACTGCATTTCCAAGCACGGAATGGGCACCTCTGTTAAAAGAGAAACATCCGGATTGCAACCGGGCTAAAGTGGAGGTACTCCCTACCTGACCAACTCACACCACCGGTCCGAACCATGGGCAACAGAAACCAGGGGGAACCAAACCAAATTAAAGGAGGAAAAAAAATGAATAAAAAAAGAGGGGCGGGGTGGATTATGATCCGATGGGTTAATCTTCATTTAATTATTCTACACTGTCGCCAGACAAAAAGGTGTAAGAATGGTGAAAATGGGTTTTGTATTTTTGTGTGTTTGTTTTTCGTTTTAAAAACGAGCATTCATCATCATAAACAGCATGTGCTTGGTTAGTTAACTTTTTATTCTATATATGCAAAGTTTAATTTTTGTGCAAACAAAGATTTGTGGACTACACTGGAAAATAAACGGTAAAAGTATCATGGGACTAAATATACAGAAGGGCCAGAAGTGGCTTGAGGACTCCCTGTTGAAGCTCAATTCTCTCACTTTGTTCTCCAGCGGGATAAAGCTGGATTTAAAATGACATGATCTGGAGGTTCTTCTAGTTTTAAACTTAAAAACATTCTCTAAAATGTGTAAAGACAAGGAAATAAAACAAAGCTTTGATCCTCATTTTAAACATTAACTGACAGTTCACTGATCTACTTCTCTCCAACAGAAAAAAAAAGAAAAGAAAAAAAGAAACATTGCCAAAAAGCTCGTAAGAGTTCGATCACCGCCATGTACTAACCTTCACTCAGACCTGTGTGGAATGAGGACGCAGGACATGTTTGCTTGGAGGTGGCTTACTACAATACCAGACCATGGTCATGGGAGGAATGCACACGTTTCCCCTCCACTAAATCCCTCAAGCTTTGTATTTTTTTGTAGCTAAATGAGTGACAGACAATTGTGCTCTTTCAAATGAGAAGGGGGGAGAGAGAGAGCGAGGGAGAGAGGGAGAGAAAGAGAGAGAATTTTTGCCCTTGATAGATTTTTTGGGTGTTTTGGAGTCAGTATCATGGTGTTTTTGAAAAGATTGGATATGCAATAAAATTGAACATTGTGATGTTGGAATGGTCTTCCACTCAACGTTGGAGTCCAGACGCCATCTGGAGACAAACAAAGAAAAAAAAATATGATTATCGTTATTCAGGTAAATGACTCATTGGCCACCGCACGGTAAAATCATTAAATTCAGGGCTGATCATGTGTGACTATTTGTAATCGCTCATCAGACAAAAACTGCTAACTTTACTACATTTTAAATCGTGTTTGTGTTCAAATTCAATGTACAAAACAATATGACAAGAAATGTTTGAAGCTATGTGAACAAGAAAAGGCATCGTAAAAAGACATCCAACAGAATTAATAACAGCTGATGTGATATTATGTTTGGTTTCTCTCTTGGTTTTATATGTTGCACCTTCATTCCCAACCTCCAGATGGCAGTCAATACAAACTCTAGATGAGGTTCAAACCTCACACATCACTGAACATTCCTCAGCCCTTCGTTTACCTTCAGACTCTAGTTCCAGATCTTGAGGAAGCTGTCCCAGGACCCCGTTGCCACGGCCATGCCGTCGTCGGTCACACCCAAGCAGCTCACCCGGTTATCGTGACCAGCCAGGACACCTGCAGAGACACCAGAGGCTGAGACACGGAAACACACCTTCTCTGTCTGATCAATGCCACCATCTAGGATGGACGTGGCTAACAAACTCATTGTAGTGTAAGTGACAAAACAGTAAATTCATTATTTCTAAATCACTGTTCTTAAAAGTGGAAGATGGGGAACGAGGTGAAGAAGGTTTCAGGGCATTTGTCGTTGTGACGCCCGATATGTTTCCGTTGTTTGGTTCAAAACACAAAGAGCAGGATATATTCAGGTTAGACTTATTGAAGGCTGATACTGACCCGATATGCTGGTAATCAATATTCCACCCACCAATGGATCAAATATAATAGTGTGTGTGTGTGCATTTGAAATGGCCTGCTGAGATGTGGGCCTTGTCTGATCCCTGACCCACTATACGATCAATAGCTGTAAAGTATTCATGCCGGCTGCTCTCCAGATATATATATATATTAATGCCTTCTATACTGTGGAACAACAAAACACATCTTATCCCGCTTTGACTTATTATCAATATCAAACAGCTAACATCAAAATCAAACTGGAAAGAAGTTGAAGAAGAATAACTTTTTACTAAAGTAAGGAAAAGTCCTGCATTCTAAATGTTATCCTATTTGAGTTTAAAGAAAAAGGCCTTTGATGTTTAGTGTAACATTTAGTGCGATGACCAAACAGCTAACTTTTGTATGATCACAACTTATTTCCCTTTTGCTTTCTGTCGCTGTGTTCCAGACGCTAGTCCAGATGTCATGTGAGGTTCTTTTTCAACAAGCATAAAGCTGCAACTTTTAAAGCAGCCAGGCAGGAGTTGTTGTACGACAGCGTCTCACTTCCAACCAGGTGTTCTTGAACCTCTGGCTGGCCGGCTGGATTCAGTGCCTTCAAAGCTTTCTTCTATGCTTCTCCTGACTGGTAATAATACTCAGCAAACTTTTCATAACTATGTTTTGGAAATGTTCTGTTGCCTTCATGATGTCAAAATTATTATCATTATTGTTATTATAATGTATGCCAGGAGGGTCATGCGGCTAGTCGCGTGCCTGAGTCTGTGAGTGAGTGAGTGAGTGAGCTTGCACCTCTGTGTCTGTCCACGGCTAATCTTGCATTCTGCTGCAGCAAACTGCTCAACATTTTGGGTTGGTTGCCAGTTATTGGCCGCATGCTCAAGGACCCGTCGTGGTTGCAGTGACTCACACTTTCTCAAAAAACATCTTTTATTGACTGTTTAATACGGCCATTGACTGCCTGCTGGCTCCTCCCTCACAACTCTAAACCCCCACCGGGCAGTACGGGCAGCTAGTTATTGTTTTGGCTATGTGTGTGTTTGGCTAACAGCTACCAGTACACACACTGCTGAGTCAGCACTGCCACTCAGCTGCTGCTATACGACCACTTCGAGCCGATAACTCGCACACATTGCTGCTTGTTTTTTGAGTTTTGAAATGAAGTGTGTTTTAAGACGCGATTAGACGAGCAGTCAGCCAATGATCGGTTGCATTGATATAGCAGTGGTCGGTGCAGACACACCTGGCCGAGATTTGCTCTCTACAGAGTTCACCTTTCTAGCTTAACTGTATTTCTGATGTGGCATTTTAAACTAATGAGTACGTTTTCAATCTGCGAAGGTCCATACAACAAAAAGTCTGTTTTATAAATCTGTAATTCATATTTCAGTATACACACTCAACATGCTTCAGGGAACTCACCAGGTGCACAGAGGTGTACAAAACAGGAGAGCTGAAACCGAGCTATAGATCAGTTCTCCACATTTCTTATGTTTAAACTTCATCTACTGTCTGTTTACCGCTAAATTATAACGTCAGATTTACTTGAAACAACACAAAAATCTGTGGTTCTGATCAACAGCTGGGACGGATATGGTCAATTTCTTCCCACACCTCTTCTCCACATTTCTGACTGGAGCTGACACCAAACTTTGACATTTACTGCTGGTTATTCAGACGGCTCAATGGAACAGACCTGGAAACATCGACTCGTCACATCATGATACTCCAGCTCTTCTCGCTCGTCTTGTATGCCGGCTTACCTGCACGGTCGGCCTTCAAAGTGTCCCAGACGTTGCAGTTGAAATCGTCGTAGCCGGCCAGCAGTAGGCGGCCGCTCTTGGAGAACGCCACAGAGGTGATCCCACAGATGATGTTGTCGTGTGAGTAAACCATCAACTCCTGGTCGGCACGCAGGTCAAACAGCCGGCAGGTAGCGTCGTCTGAGCCCGTGGCAAAGGCATTGCCATTAGGGAAGAACTGCAACAAAGGGAGATTTTTCATGTTGATACTTGTGTGCATACATCCTTTACTTCTGAGTGATAGATGAAAAAATATTCGAATGACTGTATTTTGTTAATGAATTGAACCTGCCCTCAAGGACCTGAGATTTGCTCCGATAGACCCGACTTGGACACGCCAAGAAAGATTTGAGACCTGACACCCTCCTATGATTCATATGTAACATCTAAAGGAGAGTTTGCGTGTGCAGCCTTACGCAGATAGCGTTGATGTCCGACTCGTGGCCAGTGAAGGTCTGTCGGCACATTCCTTCTCTGATGTCCCAGAGCTTGGCCGAGGCATCGCAGGCCCCAGACACAAACAGCCTGGTGTCGGGCGCCAGAGAGAGACTCATTACATCACCGGTGTGACCGGCAAATGTAGTCGTCTGCTGACCGGTCTCAATGTCCCACAGAGCGCTGCGAGAAAGCAGAAGAAACGGTCAAATTAAGGGATGGGTATGGCTAGGACTAGTCCTATTGGTTCTTTTCCATGACACACTAATTGCTTTTTAATATATTATTATTAGAAAAAGATAGAATTTGAATTTACTTGTGTTTATTTTGTTTCTAGAGCAGCAAAAGTAATGCTTACAACACTAAATTCACTATATAAAGACAATAATATCTCACTGGAAACAATTCTAAAATGTCAATAAAATAGATAATATCGCTGACAACCCAGGATTGAGTTGAGTCTAGAAAGAATGAAGAACCAGACATCAGTCATCACTGCCTGCAGGTACCGACGGTAGACAAGATGGCTGCTTTGTCTCAGCCAGCAGATACGTTTACAAGAATTTGCCAAATTTTAAGATACGTGGCAAACAATGCTAAACAGTTAGACTACATACAGACAGCTTTGGTTTTAGCTTGTTTGTAGCAATTCGCTATTAGCCGAGCTAGCGCACTGTGCTTCTATAAGACATATATAATAAACTGCTGACAGAGCAGATTGAAATATCGCTTTTCTACTTGTTTACACCCGTTTAAAAAGTATCAGTATTGGCTTCTACTCTCAAAGGTTTTGTTGCACAGACAGTAACGAGTTTACTTGTTTTCAACTCAAGTAATCTTCGGCGGCCTCTCTGCTGCCTGGCGACTTCGCTCTGTGTGTGTGTGTGTGTGTGTAGGAGCCCCGACGTAGAGAGCTAGATAGGCTGCAGCTTCATAATAAATTAGTACAGATAAAACAACATCAGAGTTTATCAATACCACAGTATTAAATCATTTAGCACCTTTGCCTGTTTAATACCGGTTTCCAGTAACCATGCCAAGTCAAATTACAGTTTTATTAAATTATATTAAACTGTTGATTTTAGTTGGGTTCTAGTTTGTGTAGTATTGGGTTGCATTGGCTGCAGTATCATAACTCACCAGGTGGTGTCTCCAGAGCTGGTGACGATCTGGTTGTCATCCAGGAAGCGACAGCAGGACAGGTAACCTGACAGTAATCAAACACACCGACTGAATAACTCATTCGTGATAGACTGTCTTCTTCATAGTATTAAGAAGTAGAGGCTTCAGGTCTTTACCGTCTGCACAGAGGAAGAAGTTATATTCCAAATTATCATCACACCCTCAGAGAATTCATTGTGGGCTGAGTTTGGGAAGTGGAGGAGAAGAATTGACTAATTCACTCCCAGGAACAGAAAGGAAAGCTGGAGGATATCTCCCGGTGCATGACTGGCTTCCATAATTCATCCTAATTCATCTTTTACTCGCTGGCAGAGTGTGCGTACGCCTCCCTATAGCAAGAACTAAAATGCTGACACACTTCCTGCATCATGTGACGCTGATCAGATGAATGCTCCTTGCCTAAGAGCTCAACACTTTCATTAGTTTGAGCTGGGACACGGCTCGAACAACTCCTGTTTTTAATGGAGAAAGACAACATGTGACCGGAATCTCTGGGATATGAATAGAACTGGGCTTAAAACAACATCAATATCAGACATCAATCACAGAATGACTTTGATTATTGGATATTATTTCCTCATCACATAAATGAAGAGACAATTTGAAACTTGTGTGGAAAGCAACCTTCTCTGTAGTGTCACTGCTAAGCTAAGACTGCTGGGTGCTAATGGCAATTCAGTGCTCCTGAAGGTTCCAAATCTTACTGTACTGATGGATCTGACCTTCAAAACATCCTGGGACTGATGGGTAAATGAGTTCGCGTTAGCGGATGTGTCCGGCCTACCTGTGTGTCCGGCCAGCTCGCGGCTGACGCGCACGTTTCCCTCGCGGGTCTTCAGGTTGTAGATGGAGCAGATGTTGTCCAGGCCTCCACAGGCAACATAGTTCCCAGAAGGGGCATAGGCGCACGTCATTACCCAGGAGGAGCGCAGCGGGATGGCGTGGACCTGGAAGAGACGAGGAAGATTCAATATTAGATTGCATGCAGTGACAGATGGGCAAGAGAGAGAGAGAGCGAGAGACAGAGGGAGGGAGAGAGACATGTGACAGGGTTGGTCCGCAATATTATCTTAACCTTTCAAGGGCACAACACAGACTATAAATAGCATTACTTGGCACCCTCAAACACTCGTGAATTATGTTATTATGAACTCGGCACTCTTTGTCAACCTAAATGAAAGTAACTTCCAGAGAAGGGGGAGTAATGAGTAATGAGCATTGCTTAAGCTTTGATTAGCAGGTAAAGAGAATGAATGACCACGTTGAGATTGTTTCAGTTCTTAAGAAATGTTTTTTGTTTTTACCTTGTTCGTGGTGTAGCTGTCCCAAATAATGAGCTTGCCATCCTGGGAGGCGCTGACCAAAAGCCTGAAGAAGAGGAAGATAGTTTAAACTATAGAACAATTCAATGACCAGTCCACTGCCCATTTTGAATAGTTTCACATCCAAAAATGGCAATTCTGCAATGGATATGTTCATGTATATATTGGTACTCAGTTTCTGTCATCTCTGTCCTTCAGTAATGCAAATAACAGTGATTGATAGACACTAAATGGTAGGGTATGGCTGCTTGAATATTTAAATAAAATGTTGTTGTGAGCATACTTCAACTTTCTTTGAAACAGAGAACAAAAACTGCAAAAGCCACAACGGTGAATTAAAACAAACGTGAAACGACTAATGGACATGCACGACGCTGCATGGTAATGAATATAAAAGCTTTTAATCCAGCACCTGTATACCAGATAAATATGTCACGGCATTATTTTTAAAGCTGCTGCTGCATCAACAGAGTATTCCACAGAACGCACAGTGCTAATCCTAATACGGACTGATACAGAGAGAGGAATTCTATTACACTATCGAGTACTTTCAAGATCGCGTATTCACTTTCAATGTTTCATGTGCCTCAAACCTGCAAAGTCTGTGTGGGAAGCACAGTTATTCTAATAGGAACCGTTACTAACCCTGCTTTGCATTCTAGAGACGGCTCTCGGGTACGTCTGTGACCGTGCTCCGCTATCTGGGGTGAATCCAACAAGAGTAACCACAGTGACAGTCCCAAAACACACAGGACCAGGAGAAGGAGTGAACACACCAAGGCCTGCTGGGACTACGCAAATCTTAACTACCGCGCTCGAATGTGCACACGCCGGCTGATAATAAGCCAGGGACAGAAGGGCCTGTGCTGGGAATTATAGTCTGAAAGCAGAGCATCAACTTCCTGGTCTTAAAATGATCAGATTAAACTCAAATAATCAAAAGATGATGTCAAAAGCAGGAAAATGTATAAATTAGGCTCCTTTTTGCAATGCCAGCGAGAGAGTAAGTGTGTGTGTGTGTGTCAGCTAGGAGACAATGATGCGCTCACTCTTTCGTCAGAACAGAGCTCCGACAACATGGTTGGGAACAGACGCCCAATGTTTGGAAAAGCTGTGATTTATGAATTCACAACCAGTTTGTGTTGCTCGTCACTCATCAGGTCTGTTTGAGTAACTGTGATGCCGTCGAGTGACTTAATCAAACACAAGCAGAGGAGCGTGTGCTCAGCCGGAGCTCTGTTCAGCTTAAGTTAGGGTGGGGTTATACGGCCAAAATCTGGATAACGATATATAGATATATATACACATACATACATAAAGTATATAGCATGATTTCTGGTGAGTCAATAAATAGTCTATATGAAATAACCCCACCGTGAGGACTATACAAAAATAGACTTATGTAAATTAAGTACTTGACAAATGTAAAGTTATGAGTATTTTCTCTTGTCACTAAGAAATTTGTGCAAATTGAACGTAACAGTTTCAAATGAAATTAAAGAGAAAAATGAATAATTATTTCCAGCTGTACACTATGTTTACATGCATGCACACAAATACAGAGTAATCACATTAATACAATAGTTTGGTATAACCTACACTGGGGTGTGCCCATGAGCGGCATTATTATCAATTCAAGATTTGAGTTAGTATGTGCTTGTCATTATGAATTTAGACAACGTAATTGTGTATCTCGATAAATGAGTTCATCACGACACGACTCCATTGAAAGATAAATATTGAAATATCGCTCAGCCTTAGCTTAAGTGAATAGCGGCAAAAGAAAATCATAAGATGAAGCCACAATTTCACATACTTAGTGAGTACTTCAAATAAACATTCATTTGAAAAGTATCTTAATTCTACACCTTAGAAACACAAGGTAAATATGCTGTATTACATCAGCAAAGCCAAACAACCGACAACAACAAACTAAACTAGCTGTGGTTATGACTCACTGATTTCATGTAGATCCAAGTTATCTAGTGCAATGGTCGTCATCCAGCCTCCCGCTCATGTCGCCAATACCAACAACTATTGTCCCAAATTTTAGTAAATAGCTCACTTTGTCCAACCAGAAAGAAAACGTTTTGTGAAGACCACACAAGAACCATTTCGGTCGATGCGTTCAGCCTCTTTGCTCTCCACCTGTATTCATCCAACGCCTGCTTGAATGTGATTGGTCAATACTACACTTCTGAGATTCATAAAACGCTGGCATTAAGTTGCTTGTGAAGGGGTTTAACCAACAAGATGATCAGCAGTAACCCTAAATTTGAGCTACAGATTTTTTTATTATAATAGTACAACTACAAAGCTTTGCCTTTTACAGGCATTTACCAATTTATAAGATAACGATTTTTGGTACATCAGAGTACAACACCCTGAACATTTAACTCAATATACATTAACGGTTTACGAGGGGAAGTTGAACTTCTTTCTCAAACTGTTGGGAACCGACCACTGAATCCTAGCAGTGTCTCCATGGGGCTAAAAATAGCAGACCGAGCTGTGACTATGGGTCAAAACATCTCCGTGCGACCTTTCTGGGCGGCTGAATCTCAGCAGGTAGTCTAATAAATACCCCAACTCCTCCAGGAGGTCAAACATTAACGGATGAAACAAACAAACAAACAAACAGTGGGCAAACACAGGGGTAGACTTCTTCTTAGCTACACGACTGGAAGGATGATGAGGTGACATAGCAGTTCTGTAACGGTCTCTCTGTGGACTGACGCACAGCAGCACCGCAGTGATTAACTTGTTGGCTGCTGAGGTGAGAGGTGTGCGCTCCTCTAGGGGGAAAGGCGTTCTATGTGAAGAACGGAGTGTTGCTTCATCTTCCTTGGCTATCTCGCCTCAACACAGCTCTAACAAAAGGCTGACTCCATTTTGAGTATTTTCCCTACCCACATACCCCACCCCCAATGCACACAAACACAGCACGCACACACACGCACGCACGCACGCACACGCACACACACACACACACACGCACACACGCACGCACGCACGCACACGCACACGCACACACACACACACACACACACACACACACACACAACACACAGTAGACACACTCACAGATAGAGCGACTGATGCGTGCCCAATGCGCATTCAACAAAAAATGCATTACCTATTGTGCATGTGCACAAATATCCTGCTTTTTGCAACACTGAGTATATGTTAATGTGATAGATCGCTTTGTACAAATGTCAAGAGTGGGCTATTGTAGAACGTCGTGGTTAGACGAGGACCCTCGGGAGAAGGGACGAGCACAAAGACGGTCAAGCTTGCTTTTATACTCATTTCCTGTATTTAAGTGAGGGGGGGCTGATGGGATGAAATATATTTAGTTAATGGACAGAACGGAGTTGAATGGGATTACCTTGAGTCAGTGCCCCAGTGCATGGCATAGATTTTAGCCAGATGCCCCCTCAGTGTCCGTCTAGTGCGCATCTGAATTCTGCCAACAGGGTCGATGTTAGCTGTGATCTGAGAAGATAAAGAAGAGAGAAAGAGTAACTTTGAGACGGCTGTGTAGTTTACTACTATATGCACTCAAACTTTAAGAAAAACAAAAAAATAATGCAGTCTTCAATCATAAACACCCGCATTCAAACATTAAAGCTGATTTTAGTACATTTTACAATATAGTCAAAAAAGTGGAAATCATGTCATTAATAATTATTCATCCATCCATCCATCCATCCATCCACCCATCCATATATGTAAATATCTTACCTGAGACAGGGTAGCATCCGCACACGCTTTCCTGGCATCCTGAAACACAACAACCCACACTTTTTGAGTACCACCCAATAAACCAAATTATGTTTACAGCAGAATGTACAAAAAAAAAAAAAGTATAGTGTCAGTACTGGTCATACAATTTGCCCCGTGTAGAACTCGTCTCTGTCACAAACTGATATTATAATGTGGTTCAAAAGCCAGAGGGCTCTGAGGCTCCTTCATTACTAAATCAATGTCAAAAATGAAAAAATAAATATATAGTTGTGTGATCTCAGCTGAAGTGCATTGTAGCAATAATAGCACCCATTTAAAAAATAAAATAAACGTCATTCTGCAATTATGGAGCAATACAAGTCAGAAAAATGACGGCATTTAAACTCTGCATCACAGCAGGTAAGATGAAATCTCATTAGGCTGCATTTCACTACAGTGATGTAAATAGAAACCCTGTCTGGGCTTTAGCAGACAATCATACATTTATAATGTCAACATGGAGAGGCATCAATATAGGAAGCTCCTCGGTGAAAGATCTGCTTTCATCAAACACCAGTTTGAAATATCGGTCTCTCGAGCGACATCCGTGGATTTGTGAACTAATGGAACAAAATAAAGTCAGATTTGAGGACTTTGAGGCCTTACTCTGATCTGGTTCTTGAGCTGCTCAGCCTCCTGGCGTAGCTGATCCAGTTCACTCATTTTCCTCTGCTAATGGTGTGCTTCGCTCCGCCGCCTAGACTCTTGCTGATCTGGGGAGACAAGAAACGAGAAGCTCAACACACACACAACATACTGCTCATCAAGTCATTTATACTGTGAACTTCTGGTACTCTGGATGCAGCCCGAGTATCACACAGCGCCTCCTGAATCCAGACAGAAGTTACAGCAAGTCACAACTGTCCCACACGTTCCGGACGAGACTCAAGACTCGTCCTTGCCAGCTTCAAGCCGTTACCTAGCAACAAGCACTCGGCAGCTACTCTGGGTTTAAGAGAACATTTTTGAAGACGATGTTGAATTTCTTCTCTCTTCCCCTCACAAACAATAGCAAACCCTTGGGCAGAGATTAGGCCACACTAAGCAGCTGATAACCATTACTCAACAGCCAAGGCAAAAAACAAATAATTAAAGAATCCACTCGGCTGTAAGGGAGCAACACGTACCCCTTTACTGGCAAAAGAAGCAAGGATTAGGAGTCCAGATATGGAGGAAGCAGAGAGGCGCTACAAGAGACCAGCTCTGGTTCAGTTGCTCTACTGGAACCCCGAAGAGCTCGGACGGCGGGTGAAGTTTGACAAGGCTGTCAATGCTCTGGCCTCTGGACTCTAAGCCATCCTCCAATGTCATCCCTGTAATCCTGGGACACAGTTGATTCAGCTCCTCCAGCCAAATCCGGTTAAGACAAAACCTGCTGATGATCCTAAAAGCAGCGGCTATCCTGCTGACCTCAATCCTCTGGTTGACACTCTTAGCACCGACACTTTCACTCTCCGTAGAAAGAAGACAAGGAAAAATACTATTGGAACCATTATGAACTCTGGTGTGTTGGTCACTGAAGGAATACACAGCGTCAGCACCATTACTACTAGAAGTGCCTGTGGACGTCTCCGTAAGTCAGTAAACCTTCAACGTTCATTTAAACGGTTAACTGCAGGATGATTGATATTGTCAGTGACCCCCATCCAGTGACAATAAGTTCAGGAACCGTCTTCCTTTGATACTCTCTTCTCTTACTCATTTTTAAGACAAACTACTCACAACTCTTTCTAAAACTAAATGTCCTTATAGAAAACTAAAAGTAACATCACAGCCCTTCTGTCAAATACAAGCCAACTTCAGCACCGTTAGTTCTGCAAACACCAGCTTACCTCCCTGTCTCGATACGAGTCCTTTGTCTTGGGGAGTGTTGAGACCTTCTGAATGAACACCTTATCCTTCAAGCACCTGACATCGCAGCAGCTCCCCCGTCACCTGATTGGCCAGCGCCGCTAACTGGGTCTGCATCTAAGCAAGGCGCCATAACACGTAATCTTGGTGATAAAAACATCTCACGGTAATATCACAGGCTAGTTTCTTGTCTTCTCTGTAACAGCCCGCTGATTAAGAGGTAATGTAACCTACCGGTGCCCTTTTCAACAAAAGACATCAACTGGTCAACAGAGTCATGGAGTCTGAAAGCATCGGTAACACCTGAACATTTGCAAAAAGGTGTGTTGGGCCGAGGATATGTTCCACCGATTGATGAAGGTTACGGTGATTCACAGACACTGATACGTATGAATGTTTTAGTGTCCAAATGTGTTCGTTGTAAACACTCTGTTGTCCTGATATTTTCGTCCAGCTCTCCCATAAACGTACTTGATCTTGGGGTCGTGTGTTCCCGTGGCCCAGGAACTATGGGGGTGGAGTCTGCTGAATGGTCACAAGCAGCTACAACATGTGAACCGCATCCATTCGGTCTGCAAGCAAGCGCTGGTTGTCCCGGCTTTAAACGGTCGAAGCTCGACATTAAGCTTCGGACAAGTAGCGGAGATGTTTTTAATTGCACGATAGCCAAACTTACCTGTCCTAAAAATGGAAAAAGTAGGCTCATTTATAAATAAATCAACAGAGATTTGGACAACTGGTGAAACATATTAAAAAGATAAAGGGGGAGAAAAACAGATTGTTTTCCTTTTTTTTCTGGTTATTTTTGTGCATAAAAACGAAATACTGTAATTAAACATTTTTGGGGGGCATTAGTAGTTTAAATTATTATTATTATTATTATTATTATTATTATTATTATTATTATAAGCTGCTTAGAGCTAGTGTTAGGAAGTTAAACAGGTCACAATTCCCTCTCTAATATCTTTTTTATTTTGCTGTGAAAATGTCTCCTTCAAACAACTGTATTTAACAAGGTTCTTCACCAAAACTACAAGATTACATTTGAACAATGTAATTTACCTTCACCCAAAACTCATGATCAATACTCAGTTTAAACGCACCAAAATGTAACTGAACGGAATCCCTGTACGTTAGTTATTAGCTCCGTTAGAAGCAGGACGGTGCTCCGCGCTGTAGGCAGATGAAAAATACATTTAGTTGCAAAAAGTCTGAATCAATAACTGCGAGATGTCTACGATCCCTCTACACGAGTGAAGGCTTGATGTCCTTCCTGGTAATGCCCTGACGGGCCTGTGCTGCAGCCATCTTCACTTTGTTCTTATTTAAGGGACTTTGTGTCTTCACTTCTGGTTCAAACAAGAGAAACACATGATCAGCTGGGCTGAGGTCAGGTGATCAATGTAGCCCGTCAAGAACATTCCACGGTTTGGTCCTCAAAAAGCTCATCCAAAATGAGGTTAATTTCCGACTGCTTTGTATAAATGAATTGCATATATTTCTGCTTTACTTATCGCTCAAAAATAACAGATTCTCTAAAATGCAACATTTCCAAAAACAAGTTAATGTCTAATTGATGAAATGTAGCGATTTGAAGAATAAAGAACGTCTACTGAGAAGGAAACATAATAAGGCAGCAAGTCGTTACTGGCAATTAGTCTTAGAGGTGTGATTTAGAGAAGTCTTTCTCCCTTGTGCTGCTGGTGGGAGTGTTGAAACCACTGGCAGCCCAGCACATACAGCCTCCACTGCACTGCCTTCTCTCTCTGCCAGCTATTTTTAGAGAGCTGGTGGGGGAGGCGGGGGCAGCAGACTTCACATTTTCCAGCCACTCCTATCAGCTCCGACATCTCGAGCACAACACAGTGACAAGGAGAGAGGAAGTGTAATTTGACTCCACACACTAGCACACTTCATTGGTATTTCTCCTTCCTGAATAGCAGCGATCATGCGAGCGCCATTTATTTTCTACAGCACACGGACGTTTCAGTGGGCTGGGTGGGCGTCTTAAACCAGAGAACGTTTCTACAGACGTTTGGTTATACGGGGCACAGGACGAGAAGACTAATCTCTACAGAAATGAATTTCAAATAAAAAGGACTGAAAATTAAGAGCTGTGCATTTGTGAATTTTAGATTGTTTAACCCTTTTTAAAAATAGTAACTTGCATTAAATGTTAGGAGGTAAATATGGGAATGAATATAAAGTAAAAAAGAACATTTTAAATGATTATTTTTAGGTTCAGAAACCATAAATGTGCAGCGTTATGGAAAAGAACAAGACTTAACAGACGATCTGTCCAATCACATACTGCACTGCTCACCTGATTAGCACCATAACCATCAAAAGACATCTGATAACTAGACTGAGGACACTTAAAACATCAAATATCTGAATAATATTCAATGAATTTAATAAAAAAACAATGATGGCTAAATAGATACAGGTGTGAAAGGATATAAATCACATGATGGGTTGGACAGTAGATTTTTGGGGAAGACTAGAGGCTCCACCCTGATGACATTAAGGAGTGGGGTAGGCAGTGAGATGTTCTGGTGCACAAGAGGATAGAGAGGCAAGAGAGGCGAGTTGGAGGACAGAGCCAGATTAAACTAATGAGAGTGAACAAGCAGAGGACAATTGGGAGGGGAGCTGCTCATTAACCCTTTAGTGAAGAGGAGCGAGGCTCGGTTAGCTTCTGAGCGTCGACGACTGAGCAGAGGCGGCCTACGCTTGCTTGGCCCTGTGTTTTTTGGCCTTCCCAAAATATAGCTTTGCTCCTCTGGTACTCAGCCAGATACTCTGTACAAATGAGCACGTACAGCATGCAGCACTGTACATATTGTACAGGGAGTCAGCAAAGGAAATGCAGCACAACATAATGCAGTCCAGTACAATAAGCCTGCAATAATCGTAACGTATAAACAAAATGACACACTACAGTTGCAATATTCTGATGATGTATGAGACGTGATAGACAAGTATGGCAGACAAAAATCAAATGATAATTGTCAGTCACGGGGTCATCACTAGCCCCTCGAGTACAAAGCCACTTTAAAGTTGCTGCACTGTATTTTTAGGTTAGACTCACACTCAGAGATGTTGTCGTACCATGTAATGAAAAACAAGTCCTGACTACCGTGCGTCTCCTTTATACTGCAGAATGAGCAGGCTGACAATACACATTAAGGACCCTATAACATCCTTCTACAAAGCCCAAAATGTGTCTTCCATGGACACAAAGCCTGGATTGTATTGTAAGATGTGTCAAGCGGTTAGTAAGTGACCGAATCATTGATGGCAAAGGATTGCGAGTAGGGCCGATACAGGCGAGATATTCAATGGAGTAATAATTGCGCCCTCCTGCTTGGACACCATCTGCCCCGCCCCTCGCCTTCATGAGGGTCGCATCTCGTTACTGATCGTTCCTACTCACTCACTTCTCTGTGGGATCTTATATTCTAGAGCAGAGGTAGCCAACACGGTGCCCGCGGGCACCCTGTCGCCCGCAGGGACCACGTGAGTCGCCCGCGAGACATGTTCTAAAAATAGCACTAGTCACCATTGGAGCTCCGTCTAAAATTGTAGTTGCTGTTCTTTTTTAATCAAAAACGCTTGCATTGGTGTAGATTTTAAAGTGACAATATTTCTTGTCATAAGAGAGTTGGGTACCCGGAGGCGCACGGCGGACAGCCAGGACGAGGTCGCCGCACCGCACTAGGTTTTCAGGTTCCGAATCGCGGGCGCTTCCCGTTGGCGCCAGACGCGCGCCGCGAGCGCACCCCGTCGTCAGGTCCGTAAATCCTCGGAACAGGCCGCGGGGCAACAACTCAGGGGTGGCGGGGGTAGAGGCGAGGCGAGGCAACGCAATCCGACCGAAAAGGCCCATACTAGAGGTTTGAACGCGGGCGCCCGAAGACGCTCGCGCGCCTCGGAGGGTTGGATCCCCCGCCAGGCTATAGACGAGACTGGTTACTAGCTTCTTCGTGGAGAAAAAGGTACCGTTGGGAAAAGCTGGTGTCGGTGACAACAGACGGTGCTCCCGCGATGACGGGCCGGCATGCGGCTTCATTGCGTAATGCAAAGGTGACCCAGACTTCCCAAAATGTCTACATTACCACTGGATCATTCACCAGCAGGCGCTATGTGCAAAAGTGACCGTCTTTAATCATGTGATGATACAAAAATATCAGAGATGTGATACCTCTGACTTTCAAATGTTGAAACAGATTAACAGAAATAAAAGTTGCATGTTTTTAAATATGTATGTGTAGCTATACCATCATTGTTGTGGAAATCATTATTAATAATTATTGTGAGGAATAATTAACTGACATGTGATCAAACAGTCTCTTCACACATATTATTATTATTAAAAGGTGATCTGTGCAACTTTGTTATTCAAGAAGTTTGTATCAAACAAGTAGTCCTTCGTACTACTCGGACCCTTGAAGTAGCTCTCAGTTTAAAAAAGGTTGGTGACCCCTGTTCTAGAGCTTTAGAGTGGCATTAAGGTTGTGGCTGATCTGCTGTTCCTACAGTCTGTGCGAGGTACAGATGGGTATGTATTAGACTGTTTTTTTGTAGAGAGACTTTCAGTGGCTGGCTGTGGCAGTGCTCCGCTATGGATCATCTGTGTCAGCATGCTGCCTCCACCTTAGTGCGAGCGCGTAGCCTCTCGAAGCAGGCGTTTCCTTTTTAAGGGTGTTTCCTTAGATGTGCTCGACTCTCTCTCTCTCTTCCTTTGTCAAAACATTCAGCGGATGTGGCGACAGCGCGCACACTTTACAAATACACTCGCTCTGTGGTTTCTGCTACTTCCATTGCACTCGTCGGTGTCCGTCCAGGCTTTTGTACCGGGCTATGCAATCAGCTGCGTTACAATAGCAGGTTGCACAGGACATCCTGACAGGCAGGCTTATGCTAACAGACAAATGGGAGGGATGAAATCAGGAAGGAGGGCGGTGGATCGGCAGGAGGCGCTGTGTGTGTGTGGTGCTGCTGCAACACCAGAGGATCGGCTGGCACTTCACACTAAACTAGGTCAGTCTGGCTTAGATTAGGCCGAGCCCACCACACTGGTAAACAAATAATCAAAACTGACTGATGACTAGAAGCTGAGCGTACAGAGTGTAGATGCCACGCAGGGCTGTGCGAGGGAGACGAGCTGGTCACTGCAATAACTCAGAGCAGCATACATGGAAATGAAACAACTAACTCCATCAGACATGTATTATAAGGCGTTTTTTCAGGGCTTATTTTGGACTTGCAGTTGTGATAAATTCTGCCACACAGACAACCGAGGTGCCAATATGCACAGAAACCTTAAAAGCCATGAAAAACGGCAGATCGCTCTAACACTCTTATGCCGGGCTTACAATGAGACTGCACTTTCAGGTCTTGATGCAACCGGAAAGGCTTTTAGAAAAGCACTCTGTCTGGAGAGAAACCATCTCACTTCTTCTTCTCTCCATCCATCCGTCTAAAGAAAAGTCTCTGCAATATTTAAAAGCATTCTCCCACCGCTGTGCCCTCCCAATTTGAGTTGGGCTAACCCCTATTGTGCTCAAAAGCCTCCAGTCCAACCGATAGTGACGCTGACTAGCTCCAACTACCAAAACAAAAAGATCAGTCAAAGTAACATCAAAATGTACAACTAGTAGTGTATATCAGACGCTGCCCTGATCCATTTGTGATGGCTTGTTTTGGCTCAATAATGCCCAATCCATTCCTTGTTTGTTTTTTTAGGGGGAC